GCTTATTCTCTTCCTTTATGCTGCATTTCGCTGTCATTGCTCGATTTGTGACTGACCGGCGCCTATCCTATCAATAGATCGCTAGAATATGCATATCGTTCATTCTAGCGGGAGAGGGCTCGACATACTAGCGAATTGAAACGTTTAAATTAAAAGTAACTTAGTTAATATGAAGTGGCTAATGGAAAACACTGATAGTGCACATCTGGTCGGCAATGCATAATGAGCTGTTCCATAATGAGGGGGCTTGTGTTCGGAAAACTCTAAATGATGTGGGAGCACACGGTTCGGCTCCCGACGATGCCAGGAAGAGGAGGACATGTGCTGTAGGGTTGGCAAGGTGCATCTAAATATCCGATGACCGCATCATAGGAGAATGAGGAAATTGTAATAGGAAGGTGGAGAGGCTGAACTTTCCCTCCAGAACAGTGATGCAGTGGTAAACAAATTGGTGGGTAACCTCTGATCACCGGTCGCGGTGAAAAAGTAACGCTCCCTATACTTTCATTGCCAAAAAAAAAAGGTGGGTAAACTGAGCTTACCCTCCACTACACTACTGCTACAGAAGGAATGCTATGATCTCAGACTGAGAGCCCCTTGAAGAACTGCTGCAGAAGCGGCTATTGAAAAAAGAGAAGATTGCTTTCGTGTATATGGTCACAGGACACAGATCTTTGTCTTTTTGCTTTAACCCAACCCCCCTGAGATGGAGGGGTAGGAGCACAGGCTCAGCCACAGTGTGACGCCTCTGCAGCAGTTTTGCCTTGCCTTGCTCAAGGGCACAACCGCAGGAGATGGTGACTAGGATTCTGATGCCAGCAAGCCCCCAGATGTCGGCCCACTCCCCACCTGTCTTTTTCCCATTGAGAACAGGCAGAGAAAGTGAGGGGGTTCCTGTGTCGACCTGTAAGCGCAGGCTTGCCCGCCTGTGGCCCCTCGGGGCGTTATGTTCTCACTTTAGCCTGACAAACATCTTGTGGGGCTGTGCAAATGAAGATGTATTGTTTTCTGTCAACAGGGCAACAGTCATGGACACACAACTACCTCTGGTGATTTGATTGGGGCCCTCACTTGCAGCAACAAATGCCTAGTCCTATTTAGGGTCATATGTTTGCTCAGTTGAGTAATATATTTTCTAAGTCCTAGCATGCATGCTAAACGTTTAGATCCACTGTTAGTGTTTATATGCACACATTGGTGTCTTCCTGTGTTGAAGAACAGAACATGACACATGAGTTGTTTGGCTTTTTCTTCAATTGGGTCAAATGATGTTCTAATCTCTCTGGCATTGATGGATTGACAATGCAATAGGGGCTCCTGTTATTTCAGACCATAATATGCAACACACCTTTTTTTATATTGTGTTTATAGGAGTGCTCTTCCATAGCTTTGTTTTTATTCTACAAAGAGCTGCGACAGGACTACAGCCATTGGATTAAGTAGACTACCTCATATGTTTTAACTTTCAACCTAACCACCTGCAGGCCCTAAAAGCCGACACTTCCCATAGCTCATCAGTAGGACTTTGAACCTTGTGTAATGATGACTGATAGAACGTATTTATCAGTCATCTGAAGGTGCTCAAAGAATGTTTTGTAAAGGAGACAAGAAACATCAGTTGATACTCCAAAGCAGCAATTTTGAGATGATCAAACAAACTTGTTTGCATTACTTCCCATTTGAAGTTCCTTCTTTAGCCTTGACAGATAGGATCTTTGTCTCCCATAATGTTCAATATCTATAAACATATATTGTTTTATATTTTGAATTAGAATTATGATGAAGTAGACTACTTGAGCAAGATTGTTTGATGATCAGCATGCGATAGAATAACATTTACTCGCTACGAATCACAAGATCTTTGTGTTCTGTTTATTTCCCAAAAATGTATGCACTGACCCGGGGTGACGGAAGAGGGAGCGTAGATATTTGGGGAACCCAGCTGTAGCCCTGACGTGATGACGTTTAACAGATGTCACCGAAATAAAGGGGAACTGGTGTGTGTGCTGAAGGTTTTGGGGAGAAGTCAGGAATTTCATTACATAAATTCCATAAAATGAATGAATTCATTATTTTCATTCAATTCAGGAATTGATGGAATTTGAGAAATGTCTCATCATTTATGTATTCATTCTCAGAATTGATCCTTATGCAGAGTATACAGTGCATAATTATGTTCTACTCTTTACACAAATACATGCTGATTTGCCCTTAGTCTTATGTTTCTTTGTGATGAGCTTGTGATCCACAGAAATCCTAATTCTGTGTTGTGATGTGTCATAAGCATATGGTTTAGACCACATCTGTACCCACTTGTACGGAACTAGAATCTGTTTCATAAGGCCTCAATGGTCTCAGGAAGTGTTTTCAGTACTTGAAGTGCATCTGCTCTAACTGAAACATACAGTGTTAATTAACTCTTATTTCATTTTTCGGTACAATGAAAGATAGTCATCCTCACTTTTTTAGTCCCTCTTTTCCAAAATGTGATTGTGTGAGAGTGATTCCCATTTCAGAACATTTTTCGCAGTCACTTGTTTGAATAGACTAGTTTTATAAGCTTTTCCCATCAGACTTCCTGTTTTCTGATTAGCTATGTAAAATACTAAAGAGTTACTTCAAAGTTATACAGACAACGTAACAAGGTTGTGCCTTGCACTATTGCATACAGTCAGTCATATCCCCATTGGATCTATTTGAAATGCTGTTGTTTGATCACAAAATAAGTATGGGATCACTATACTGAGTCCATGTAAAAAAAAAAATATAATTTGAGACTGGCTAGCATGGAATTCCCCTTATCCCATGTTAGTGAGGGAAGTCTGCCCTCACTTCAGCTCTTTAGAGGAAAAATCGTCATGTATTCACAGGGGGCTTTGGCTAAAGTACCTCCTATATTTGTGCAAGAGAATTAAGTTCTTATAGGTCCCAGGATAAGTGTTCTCCCCAGCCTTTTTTGGATATGTCAAAGTTGATGTTAGTTTTTATAACCCACTCCATTTTAGGCAGGCAATAGGACTTGGCTTGTTTGAATTGGGTCCTTTGAGAAATGTCCCCATTATAGTGAATTTTTTAGCTTTACAAAGTATTCTAGTAAAAACAATTGTTGGGCTGTGTATCGGTTGCAATTAACTTCATCCATATACAGTGAGGGAAAAAAGTATTTGATCCCCTGCTGATTTTGTACGTTTGCCCACTGACAAAGAAATGATCAGTCTATAATTTTAATGGTAGGTTAATTTGAACAGTGAGAGACAGAATAACAACAACAAAATCCAGAAAAACGCATGTCAATAATGTTATAAATTAATTTGCATTTTAATGAGGGAAATAAGAATTTGACCCCCTCTCAATCAGAAAGATTTCTGGCTCCCAGGTGTCTTTTATACAGGTAATGAGCTGAGATTAGGAGCACACTCTTAAAGGGAGTGCTCCTAATCTCAGTTTGTTACCTGTATAAAATACACCTGTCCACAGAAGCAATCAATCAATCAGATTCCAAACTCTCCACCATGGCCTTGACCAAAGAGCTCTCCAAGGATGTCAGGGACAAGATTGTAGACCTACACAAGGCTGGAATGGGCTACAAGACCATCGCCAAGCAGCTTGGTGAGAAGGTGACAACAGTTGGTGCGATTTTTCACAAATGGAAGAAACACAAAATAACTGTCAATCTTCCTCTGCCTGGGGCTCCATGCAAGATCTCACCTCGTGGAGTTGCAATGATCATGAGAATGGTGAGGAATCAGCCCAGAACTACACGGGAGGATCTTGTCAATGATCTCAAGGCAGCTGGGACCATAGTCATCAAGAAAACAATTGGTAACACACTACGCCGTGAAGGACTGAAATTCTGCAGCGCCCGCAAGGTCCCCCTGCTCAAGAAAGCACATATACAGGGCCGTCTGAAGTTTTCCAATGAACATCTGAATGATTCAGAGGAGAACTGGGTGAAAGTGTTGTGGTCAGATGAGACCAAAATCGAGCTCTTTGGCATCAACTCAACTCGCCATGTTTGGAGGAGGACGAATGCTGCCTATGACCCCAAGAACACCATCCCCACCGTCAAACATGGAGGTGGAAACATTATGCTTCGGGGGTGTTTTTCTGCTAAGGGGACAGGACAACTTCACCGCATCAAAGGGACGATGGACGGGGCCATGTACCGTCAAATCTTGGGTGAGAATCTCCTTCCCTCAGCCAGGGCATTGAAAATGGGTCGTGAATGGGTATTCCAGCATGACAATGACCCAAAGCACACGACCAAGGCAACAAATGAGTGGCTCAAGAAGAAGCACATTAAGGTCCTGGAGTGGCCTTGCCAGTCTCCAGACCTTAATCCCATAGAAAATCTGTGGAGGGAGCTGAAGGTTTGAGTTGCCAAACGCCAGCCTCAAAACATTAATGACTTGGAGAAGATCTGCAAAGAGGAGTGGGACAAAATCCCTCCTGAGATGTGTGCAAACCTGGTGGCCAACTACAAGAAACGTCTGACCTCTGTGATTGCCAACAAGGGTTTTGCCACCAAGTACTAAGTCATGTTTTGCAGAGGGGTCAAATACTTATTTCCCTCATTAAAATGCAAATCAATTTATAACATTTTTGACATGCGTTTTTATGGATTTTTTTGTTGTTATTCTGTCTCTCACTGTTCAAATAAACCTACCATTAAAATTATAGACTGATCATGTCTTTGTCAGTGGGCAAACGTACAAAATCAGCAGGGGATCAAATACTTTTTTCCCTCACTGTAATTGATTTGTTTGTAATGTTTACCTGATATCTCATTTCCATTCTCATTTGGAGTTGTGACAGAAGTCTTCAAGTACCACCGGACACTGAGTTTAATGACGCACATCTAAAATTCCTGCCCCCTTCCCTACAAAAAGACTCCCAAAACACTACTAAGAAAGTGTTGTCAGTCTGCTTTTCCCCCGCAGACCTAAACTCACTGTGTCAAACCCCAACAGACTAATAGATCTTTCTAATCCATTCCCGCAATGCAGTCTACCCCGTCATCGGTGTTTCAGGTGTGCTGTGTACTAACTTCCTGTTTCTCTCCTGTAGATGAGAGCGGCGTCTCCCTCCTGCAGCTGATCGGGGACCCTCCCCCGGACGAGATCACCAAGATCTATGGCCCCGACAACAGCCCCGGCTACGTGTTCGGTCCCGATGCTAACACGGGCCAGCTGGCACGCGCCCATCTTCCCAGCCCCTTCTACCGGGACTTCTCCCTCCTCTTCAACCTGAAGCCCCAGTCCACCAAGGGTGGCGTTATCTTCTCGGTCACGGACCCCTCGCAGCAGATCATGTATGTGGGTGTCAAGCTGTCGCCCGTGAAGGCGAACAGGCAGAACGTAATCTTCTTCTATACGGAGCCCGACTCAAAGGAGTCGTACGTGGCTGCCACCTTCCCCGTGCACAATCTGGCTGACCAGTGGAACCGCTTCTCCATCTCCGTGCTGGATGACAAGGTCACCTTCTACATCAACTGCGACGACCAGCCCCAGGTGGTGCGCTTCGAGAGGTCCCCAGACGAGATGGAGCTGGAGGCTGGAGCCGGGGTGTTCGTGGGCCAAGCCGGAGGGGCCGATCCCAATAAGTTCCTGGTATGTATCATGCTATTACTGTACCTTTTGATAGCAGGGTCAGGGGCCGTTGTGTTTCAACTTGGTCGATGTAGGAAATGAATACATTTCCTAGATTGAAGGACTTGAAATGCAGTTCTACCCCAAACCCTGTCTTATATTTAATTTACAGATGACGGATCTTAATTTGATCACTCTTTTGTCGCTTCAGGAAATTCTAATGAGCCTTGTGAAACCCGCAGTTCTCTTTCTCTCCATGCAAGGGGCAGGGGGGGTCATTCGGAGCAGTGGGGCCATATTTGTCCATATTCTGTAGGCTACCTGTTAGTCACATAATGAATGGTGTGAGAACCGATAATAGGCTACTGTTTGTGTTTCCCTGGCTGAGTTGATGAGCTCATTTGGAGGACATCATAAGGTTTCTAGTGAACCCAAGGTTACGATTGAACTGTCAAAATGTAGTTCAAACCTGGTCTAGCGGTTAGGGCCGCTGCCTTCAGTGCGCACATATAGGCCTACCGTGTCGATGTGGGTTCGATTCCGGCCCACGCCCTTATGGCACAAATAACTCAATCCACCCGATTTTACTAGATTTAGTTACACATTTCAAATATGGACAGTCCAGAATATTTTACCCCCGATCTTGATAAGAAATTACCATACCAGACTTTTATTTTAGGCCGTGGCTGCAGATCTGGCTTTTTCGGCTGGGCAAAAAATTCCAGAGTCTTCCAGAAGCTTCTGCGCATGTGAGGATCACGTTCTGCGCATATGCTCAATGCGTAGAGAACAGGCTACTCAGACAAATGGTGCTTGTTTAATAAAGTTAGGTCAAAGCTGTATCAATGTCTGCAAGATCACATAATGATCACAGTATTCTACCTAACAGAACCAAATATAATAGCATAGTATAACGCTACTGTAAGACAAAACACCACCGCATATGTAACTTTTTGGGCGACCAGACCAAATACATATAGAAATGTGTGGTATAGATCTGTCATTCTCATTAAAAGCAAGTCTAAGAAGTTTAGTTTTTGTGTCTTTTATTTTCGGGTTTGCATCCCAGCTTCAAACAGCTGAAAATACAGTATTTTTGGTTATGGAAAATATATTTCACAGCGGTTTAGATGGTACAACGATGAATGATTCTCTACAGTATACTTTCATGTTTTTGTCACATTAACTGAAATTAGGCTAACTATTAGAATTTTAGCAACCAGGAAATGGCAGAGCGATTTCTGCATAAAGCATCTTTAAAGTTTTACCGGTGAAACATCCATGCAGTATCTGCATAGTAACCATTTGATCCCCAAAAAAGTCAGATCCGCAGCCACTTAAAGACAGTTTTATTTAATGGATAACATAAATAGGAAACACATTTAATAATAACAGCAGGTTACACCAACGTTAGTTACATTCATACAAGGTGCCAACGTGTGATGCTCGGAGCCGAAGCGTGCTGCTCAGACCACTGCACTATGGCAGTTCACAATGCTCTAGCAAGCTGTGAGAATATCTGATGACACTTGATGGAATGAGGTCGGTTGGTTTGCAGAGCCTTCCCCAAACCATAGCGCTAGGTACGGTACTGCGTTGTATAGCCGCTTCCAGCTGCCCCCTGGCGGTGATACTAAATATTGAATATTCATTCAAATCCTCCTGCTGCAGGATTATTTTCCTCCTGCGACGAAATGGGTCAAATTAAGGTCTGACATTTGTAGTCCCCTATCCTGAATAGCTTATGGCGTAATAATAGGTTATGAGTAGGAAATGTAGTTTGCAATTTTGGCTCAAACTTCAGCAGAAATCGGAACGTCCGAGGCAGTCCAAGATTCGTTCATAGTTTTGACTTATGTGCACTTATCTCAAGCCCTACTATATTATAACATTTCCGACTGCATAAATACACTGAGTGTACAAAACAATTAGAACAGCTCTTTCCATGACATAGACTGACCAGGTGAATCCAGGTGAAAGCTATGATCCCTTATTGATGTCACTTATTAAATCCACTTGAAGATGAAGGGGAGGAGACAGGTTAAAGAAGGATTTTTAAGCCATGAGACAATTGAGACATGGATTGTGTATGTGTGCTATTCAGAGGGTGAATGGGCAAGACAAAAGATTGAAGTGCCTTTGAACGGTGTATGGTAGTAGGTGCCAGGCACCAGTTTGTGTCAAGAACTGCAACGCTGCTGGGTTTTTCATGCTCAACAGTTGCCCGTGTGTATCAAGAATGGTCCACCACCCAAAGGATATCCAGCCAACTTGACTGTGGGAAGCATTGGAGTCAACATGGGCCAGCATCCCTGTGGAACGCTTTCGACACCTTGTAGAGTCCATGCCTCGCCAAATTGAGGCTGTTCTGAGGGCAAAGGGAGGGGGGGGGGGGGGTACGCAACTCAATGTTAAGTTGTTCTTAATGTTTTGTACACTCAGTGTATAGCAGTGTCAGGGGCAAGTGGAATCAGAAATGAGACCGATCAGGTTTGCTGTTTTGAACAAGAGAAGTGCATGCCCTCCTAGCCAAGCTGAGTTAGGTGTGTGAAACGGTAACAGCCGTGCCTGGCTAATATATTACAATAATAATAATAATAATAATATATATTTCATAATGCGCTTTTCATTATACAGATAATCTCAGATGCTTAAAAACAAAGTACATGTAGTTCTTAGGCTGGAAAATGGTCTTCTACAGAGGCTGGCGCCTACAGGTCACATCCAAATTCGGATGTGTATGATTTGTATGATATGATTGCCCTCAATTGGCCTGCTTTAAATCAAAACATAAAAGTGGTCTGACCCCGACCATCCCCCTTCTCTGAGTGGGAAACACAGAAGTTTAATTGGTGGGGGAGCAATAACCTCCAGCTGGCCTTCCCCGCCACCCCTCCCCCACTCCTCCAGTCAGCATGCCAATTGCACGCTCCCTCAAAACTTGACACATCTGTGGCATTGTGTTGTGTGACAAAACTGCACATTTTAGAGTGGCCTTTTATTGTCCCCAGCACAAGTTGCACCTGTGTAATTATCCTGCTGTTTAATCAGCTTCTTGATATGCCGCACCTGTCAGGTGGATGGATTATCTTGGCAAAGGAGAAATGCTCACTAACAGGGATGTAAACAAATTTGTGCACAGCATTTGAGAGAAATAAGCTTTTTGTGCATAAGGGAAAATGTTTGGATCTTTTATTTCAGCTCATGAAACATGGGACCAACACTTTACATGTTGCGTTTTATATTTTAGTTCAGTATACATTCAAATCTGTAAAGGCTAAGACGTAACATTTGGAGAATGGCCTGGGATAAAGTCTATCTTAATCCATGCAATCATGCGAGAATGAGAACAGGTATAGCATACTGAAACACAAAGACATTTTACATGCCTTTTGACAAATAATGCAGTATTGAATCCCCCTTTTTTATTGCTTCACTAACATACATATTTCTGTGCTGATTCATGACTTCTCACACAGCATTGTAATTGGATTGTTTTACTTGATGTCTGAAATTTAGACAGTCAGAAAACCTGTCTCTGACTAAACTGAGATAATTGGAAGATTTAGGTCAAACATGGTCAGAGGGAACAATGATAATTTTATTGCAATAACGTGTGAAAGGGACTCAATGTGAGGGAGTTGTCTTTTTGTGCTTATTGACACTAGAGCGATAGAAACATTGAAAAAGAGAGGGACAAAGGTTAATTTCATGTCCATGGAAAGTTTGTAGTCCTACACACGGTTGACTGATTTTGCTGGGCACGTCTTCAAGCAAAGTAAACATCAGGGAATCGGAATGCTCAGAGTAATGTCCCAAATAGCGCTCCTTTGGGTTTAAGACAGCCCAGCCTGTCTATCCTATCTTGTCAAGACCAAATTAGGGGATTTAAACAGAATGGTTTTCCCAAATGTCAGAGCATAGTGTATTTTTTCCTCTTTTTAAAGACAGTTGTTAGAGACAGCTGAGGTAAACAATGGTTGTTTACACAGACCCCAGGCATAGCCGATGTCAGACAGTTGTCATGAAGATTTGCATTATCTGTAGACTCAATGCAGAGAGTTGAACCGTTATGCCTGTACTCAGAAGGTACAGGTCAGTTACAATGAATTACCTTTTGAGAGGAATGTAGCCACTCAAGTCAAATTTAGATAGTCTATGAGATTGGCATTATTGATAGTTTTAACATTTTAAAGCTATACATTGTTCGTTGACACAGACTCAGAAACATAAATGACGAATTAATACAACCATGATAGGGTAAGATAGCACCTGCTTCCAGGACCGGAAGTAACAGTGGAAAATGAAAAGGCAGTTATCGTGTACAGACTTGCGATAGCTTCATAATGGAAAATGGGCTAACAATAATTATAAAATAAATAAAATACAGGTCTTTGATAGCTACTTAGGGACATTGAATGCTCGTGAACACAACTGTGGGCATTCAGCGAAAGAGAAGCTCTTCATAGCTAAGAGAGCTTTTATCAGTTTAAAACAGGGGACTCCCAACAGGTCGATCACGAGCTACCAGTAACTCACAGCCAACTTATGAGTAGCTCGTCAAACAATTCAGAAAGTACATGCAATTTTTCATGTTTTCCACCGCAAACTGTCATAAACAACTCTCACAAGTATCAGCTCCCAGCTACTATCTAATCAACGCAACATTGACATTATCCCACCCCTAGTTAGCCACTATTGTCTTAAAAAGCCAAACCTAACACAATATCGCTAGATCCGCACATTCCTCACTCGCTAGATGTGCAATTAAAGGGCCAGATGCGCAAATAAAGGGGAATTACACAAATAAATCTAAATTTGTTTGATTTCTTCCAGACCTAAAAAAATTGTCTTCTCATCAGATTTAAGCATTGACATGGACTCAGAACTCAGAACATCCAATTTAGTTTTTTCTCTATGAACAATGGTAATTTTGAGAGTGAAAAACAAAACAAACATTTTGCGGCGGAAACATAATTTGGGAAAATATAAAACATTATTTGGTGGTGGGGGGGGGGCAGATTTTATAGGGCCTCCCTTAGAGTTGTTTATTAACCATTATTTTACTAGGTATATTGACATTAAACATAGTGCACCACTTTCTCTTGTACACTAAGGACCCGGGGAAGAGTGGCAGGGGAGAAGAGAAGAATGTGCCTATTTGAAAGCTAGAAAGAAATGAGTAGCTCGCGACGTTTCATTTTTTAAAAGTAGCTCTCATGCTAGAAAAGGTTGGGGACCACTGGTTTAAAACATTCCCCTGAATCGCATTTCTGGCTCCTAGATTGACTTGATAATATGCCGTTAATGGGAGTCATTGAAAGAGGCTATTGTGGTGGCGAGTTTGATGGTCTGGGACCAGGGAGGATGACAGTGTCATATCACAGGTGGCCATTTCATTTCTCAACACTGGGGCGGCTGTATTAAACCCCTCAGCTTCTCTCGCGAGAGGGGGTTTCTTACCACAAACCACCACACAGATCAGGGACGTATGTTTAAAGACACAGGACTTCAGAGGGAAGATAATGTGTGATGTGTTTGTAATTATGTTGAGCAGGGCCGACGCATGTGGGCTTAATGGGGGAGAAGAATGCCGACATGTGTACAGGCCATGTATTGACAACTGTGTGTGTGCCTGCGTGTGTGTGTGTGTGTGTGTGTGTGTGTGTGTGTGTGTGTATGTGTGTGTGCCTGTGTATGTGTGCGTGCCTGTGTGTTTTCCTTCATAGGGGGTGATCGGGGAGCTGAGGGTCATTGGAGACCCTCGGGCCGCTGAAAGACAGTGTGAAGAGGAAGGGGATGACTCGGATGCGGTAAGTGTCCCTTGACCTGCTACCGATACATAAACAAGTGCAGCAGATTAGCGCTTAAACAGGGAGGCTAAAACTGACAGGGATCTCCTGGGAACAACAAGTTGTTTCTGTAGGAGGTGAATATGCTACAGTACATCCCCAAGCCCTTTGATGTGTAGAAATATTCTACGCCAATTAAGCATGTTTGTTTTATATGTGTCAGTTATACATTTGGCTTGAATTGCATACGTTACACATTTTCAACGTAAATCCCATGTATTTCTGTGATGCATTACATGTTAGTTATCCATTTAGCATAAATAGCATACGTTATCATGTATTAATAGCATATGCCTGTGTATTTCTGTGGTGTTTGGATGTTGTGTGAAATGAATGAAGGAACATTCCTCTTGGTGTATTTTTGTTCTGTTTAAAAAAAAAAGTGCAGATACATTGTAATTGTTTGCATCAATGTAATTGTCTGCATCACTTCCAATCCCCCATGTATTTTTTTGCAAATATATATATATACATACATACACAAACATACATACATACATACACACATATACATATATACACATATCCTTTTAAAAATATATATTTTCCTTTATTACTTTCTAACCCTACCACCCCTCCCCTAATTGGAGTAAACTAGTGAACAAGAACGCTTAGGCCTCTACTTCCAGCTTATACATACTATATACATTTTATGGACACAGTCAATTTTTCAATTGTTCTATTTTGTTTGTTTTTACTCCTGAACTTCCTCTACTATTCACTAGGAAGCAAACAGGAGCAAACGGGCTGACATGGGGAGGGACCAACCTGAATTTGTCCAATAAGAAACACTTGTTTTTCTTAGTTTCCGTTGCAAAATGTTTTGCTACGATTTATACTAATGAATAAACCCCTGGACTCTCTCCTCCCAGGCTTCAGGAGACGGCGGAAGCGGTGACGAGGAAGGGAAACCGGACGGGAAGAAGACAGGATTGGTATGATCATTTGACAAATATTTTAGTGTTCACATTTGGTTGCCATCCACAAACAAGCATGTTCGTTCCATCTAATCAATCTTGTGTTTGCTGTTCCCTTTTGGGTCTGCATCTAAAACCAAGTCACAGAGTTCGAACAGGATGGCTTGGCTATGTACTGGTTGTAGGACGTTTGGAAACGTTGCCATATGATGGGTTTTCACTACAATGCTCGCTCATAGTTGTAGTGACTCCTTTGTAGGAAAGTAGTTTGTGAATAATAGTCACATAATGAAGGTGATGGATCTCTCTCTCCCCCCCCCCCCCCCCCCCCCCCCCTCACTTTCTCCCATAGGGTACATCCATATCGGACGCAAAGGTACAAAAATACGTGTGGGTTGAAGATGTCAGACCGACAGTTACGGTACATGCTCTGAAATCCATTTTATCTGTATATGTTTGCATTCACCCACAGCCATGTGAAATTTCACCTTTTGATTTGTCAGCACCGCTCTCTTCCCGTGAGCAGCCTATTCACTATATACTGTAGTGCACAATGTAGGGCACCCTATTCAAATGACACCCTGTTCACTACTATAGTGCACTATGTAGGGCATAAGGTGCCATTTGGGATGCAACCATCCACCATCCTCATCAAAACGAGTTATCTGGCTATTTCAAACGGTATGGGGAGGTGGTAGGTTGTGGGGAATGTATATGGCCTGGTTTCGCTGAGGAGTATCACCTGGACGACGTCCTAAACTAACACAATTGTCGTCCATCTGCCTCAGTAGGACTCAGTAATAACTCTGTCATTGATGAAGTAGGTAATACCCCCCAATGCACACACACACAAACATTTTCAGCGGGGACCCCATTTTTCTGGCAGAACTTTTTTAATGATCTTTCTCAAAAACATGTATATATTTTCCTATACGATCTGTACTCTTAATTTTTGTTTCCTAAAATAAAAAAATTGACGATCGCACTGCAGTTCCCCCGCAACCCCGACTTTGAATACCAGTGCTCTACAACAAGCAAATGTTGCAGCACAACCTCCGCCCAACCTCCATACAACGGCACCGTCGCGGCACGCCGGTCCAATTACAGTGTAAGACTAGGGAGAAAACCAGATGTCTGGTCCAGGTCAGGGCGATGATATCTCCAAGGTTTTCTTTTGTTATTTTGACAGCTTTCTCAATCAGACTTAAAAGTTGAGAGCACAGGAATAGAGAGGGGGCAACGGAAAGAGATGGCGGGGAAAGTTGTGCCTGAAGCAGAGTTCTAATTCTCCCTCTTTGGCCTGCCAAGCCTTGTAGGTTCCGCAGGGCTCTTGGTGCACGGGCTGACTTTGAAGCCTTGTGCCACTTAACATTGGGGCTTTCCGTCCACCAGACAAGTGTTTATTATCATCGTATGGAACAGCTGTTACTAAATATCACGTCGGCTTTGACTTTGCGTCGATCGTGTGGATCCGGAATATTAGCTGTTTCTTTGCAACCCTTAATGCCTATTTGACTGCCACTCAAGTTTGGACACGCAAAGACGGAAATGCAGACACTTGTCTGAAGGAATCTTTCCATTGTGTGACTGGCGGCGGATTTTAGCTTGATTGATGGACTTGCAAGTTGTCATCGTTACACGGTGCACTAAGGGCAGGAATTCAGCCAAATCCGCACTGCAGGAAAACAACAACATTGTTCCTGCACCATTAAAGGGCTCGTTATAACTGTGCGGGAAGTGATGTTGACATGCAGGTTTACCACAGTGCAGGTTGGATTGAATCTGCCACCCAAACACTTGCGCTACCTACTGTCAAGCTTAAGTCCCATTACACAGTCGTATGGGTGAAAGTGCATACAATTTAATATTGTGTGATTATAAAAAAAATGAAGACTGCTCGTGACGGTGAAGTAAACATACTTCTTATTTCATTACATTTCTCATTCAATTGAGTCTCGAAGCTTATGTAGACTCTGGGATTAGGCATGTGTGTATTCGGTGTGCGAATCTGGTCCTTGTCCAAGCTTGACCTTGTTTGCATCAACTTTGTGCCCTAAATAGTTTTATTCAGAGAACTAATAGCACACAAGTTTCAATCTGCATGGTGCAAAATTAGGCTTGTGCCATCTGTGGTTAAATGAAGTTGTGTTTTTCAAATCCATCACCACCCAGTGGCCTCATCTATCCCCACTCTCCTCACTCCCACCTCTCAGATATTATGAATGCATGGGAGTATACGTGCCGGTCTGTTTTATTACATATATCCCCTTGGATCTCTCATATAACACTCACCAAGTGAAATTCTTCACATAGTTGACCTCAGGCCCTACAATAGGAAGAATGTTTGCCCACAGAGGAAACTGGTTAATTTAAACAGTGAAGAATTCCGTACCCTCCTCCCACCGTCTATCCATCGTCCCACCCAGTGTTCCCCTCTCAGATTCCACGGGGGAACAATACGAGGCTTGTCACCTGGTGAAGAATGAGCTTAGAAAACGGGGGTGTTTAGTGTCATCTCCCTCTCCCTGAGGTGGGTGAGTCTGGAAATGGCCTCTTGTCTTCCACCACTGCATATTCTCCCACCTCTAGAGCACTAGTCCTTTCTTGTCTACTGCGCAACACACACACAGTACACACACACTTACACCCAGACACTTACACCCACACACACACACATACGCTGAAACACACGCACACATGCGCTGACACACCCTCAGACACCAGCTCCTCCACTATTCGCTGACCCCTATCTTAAGAGCTGGAGCCCAAAACGGGTCACATTCCTGTTGCCAGACGTGTTCCTCCCGACCAATATAATTGCTGCCTGTCGCCATCCCATCCGCACCCAGTGGGACAACGTACGCCTACTGTCTCACACACACACACACACCCACACCCTTTGTGCTTGTGGACATACTTTAAGTTGTGTTTTACATTATGGTGGCTTTATGCCATAATAACTGTAGTGGAATGATCAATGTTAGTAGCTACCCTAACATTATGCGGTGTAGTGAATATGTAAACTTATGCAGGCCACTACTACATATCTGCCCTTTGTATCGTTTTTGTTTAACAAGGTGTGCATTAAAAATAAATTACATAATGGACACCAGACACAGTGCTAGTATGCCAAACATTAGCACGTGTGATTACCCGGTAACAAAAATAAAACTTCACAAAACATATACATCCATACAAAGTATTTGATCCCCTGCTGATTTTGTACGTTTGCCCACTGACAAAGACATGATCAGTCTATAATTTTAATGGTAGGTTTATTTGAACAGTGAGAGACAGAATAACAACAAAAAAATCCAGAAAAACGCATGTCAAAAATGTTATAAATTGATTTGCATTTTAATGAGGGAAATAAGTATTTGACCCCCTCTCAATCAGAAAGATTTCTGGCTACCAGGTGTCTTTTATACAGGTAACGAGCTGAGATTAGGAGCACACTCTTAAAGGGAGTGCTCCTAATCTCAATTTGTTACCTGTATAAAAGACACCTGTCCACAGAAGCAATCAATCAGATTCCAAACTCTCCACCATGGCCAAGACCAAAGAGCTCTCCAAGGATGTCAGGGACAAGATTGTAGACCTACACAAGGCTGGAATGGGCTACAAGACCATCGCCAAGCAGCTTGGTAAGAAGGTGACAACAGTTGGTGCGATTATTCGCAAATGGAAGAAACACAAAAGAACTGTCAATCTCCCTCGGCCTGGGGCTCCATGCAAGATCTCACCTCGTGGAGTTGCAATGACCGGAAGGTCCCCCTGCTCAAGAAAGCACATATACATGCCCGTCTGAAGTTTGCCAATGAACATCTGAATGATTCAGAGGAGAACTGGGTGAAAGTGTTGTGGTCAGATGAGACCAAAATCAAGCTCTTTGGCATCAACTCAACTTGCTGTGTTTGGAGGAGGAATGCTGCCTATGACCCCAAGAACACCATCCCCACTGTCAAACATGGAGGTGGAAACATTATGCTTTGGGGGTGTTTTTCTGCTAAGGGGACAGGACAACTTCACCGCATCAAAGGGACGATGGACGGGGCCATG